CAGACGTATTGTTGACGTAACTAAGCAATACGTCTACCAGATGTCTTGTTGACGTAGCTAAGTAATACGTCTACCAGACATCTTGTTGACGTAGCTATGCAATACGTCTATCAGACGTCTTGTTGACGTAGCTAAGCAATACGTCTACCAGACGTCTTGTTGACGTAACTAAGCAATACGTCTACCAGACGTCTTGTTGGCATAGCTAAGCAATACGTCTACCAGACGTCTTGTTGGCATAGCTAAGCAATACGTCTACCAGACGTCACCAATACGTCTACCAGGCGTCTTGTGACATAGCTAAGCAATACGTCTACCAGGCGTCTTGTTGACGTAGCTAAGCAATACGTCTACCAGGCGTCTTGTTGACGTAGCTAAGCAATATGTCTACCAGACGTCTTGTTGACGTAGCTAAGCAATACGTCTACCAGGCGTCTTGTTGACGTAGCTAAGCAATACGTCTACCAGACGTCTTGTTGACGTAGCTAAGCAATACGTCTACCAGACGTCTTGTTGACGTAGCTAAGCAATACGTCTACCAGACGTCTTGTTGACGTAGCTAAGCAAATACGTCTACCAGACATCTGTTTGACGTAGCTAAGCAATACGTCTACCAGACGTCTTGTTGACGTAGCTAAGCAATACGTCTACCAGACGTCTTGTTGACGTAGCTAAGCAATACGTCTACCAGACGTCTTGTTGACGTAGCTAAGCAATACGTCTACCAGACGTCTTGTTGACGTAGCTAAGCAATACGTCTACCAGACGTATTGTTGACGTAGCTAAGCAATACGTCTACCAGCCGTCTTGTTGACGTAGCTAAGCAATATGTCTACCATACGTCTTGTTGACGTAGCTAGCACTACGTCTACCAGACGTCTTGTTGACGTAGCTAAGCAATACGTCTACCAGCCGTCTTGTTGACGTAGCTAAGCAATACGTCTACCAGACGCCTTGTTGACGTAGCTAAGCACTACGTCTACCAGACGTTTTGTTGACGTAGCTATGCAATACGTCTACCAGACGTCTTGTTGACGTAGCTAAGCAATACGTCTACCAGACGTCTTGTTGACGTAGCGCAAGCAATACGTCTACCAGACGTCACCAATACGTCTACCAGACGTATTGTTGACGTAACTAAGCAATACGTCTACCAGATGTCTTGTTGACGTAGCTAAGTAATACGTCTACCAGACATCTTGTTGACGTAGCTATGCAATACGTCTATCAGACGTCTTGTTGACGTAGCTAAGCAATACGTCTACCAGACGTCTTGTTGACGTAACTAAGCAATACGTCTACCAGACGTCTTGTTGGCATAGCTAAGCAATACGTCTACCAGACGTCTTGTTGGCATAGCTAAGCAATACGTCTACCAGACGTCACCAATACGTCTACCAGGCGTCTTGTTGACATAGCTAAGCAATACGTCTACCAGGCGTCTTGTTGACGTAGCTAAGCAATACGTCTACCAGGCGTCTTGTTGACGTAGCTAAGCAATATGTCTACCAGACGTCTTGTTGACGTAGCTAAGCAATACGTCTACCAGGCGTCTTGTTTGACGTAGCTAAGCAATACGTCTACCAGACGTCTTGTTGACGTAGCTAAGCAATACGTCTACCAGACGTCTTGTTGACGTAGCTAAGCAATACGTCTACCAGACGTCTTGTTGACGTAGCTAAGCAATACGTCTACCAGACATCTTGTTGACGTAGCTAAGCAATACGTCTACCAGACGTCTTGTTGACGTAGCTAAGCAATACGTCTACCAGACGTCTTGTTGACGTAGCTAAGCAATACGTCTACCAGACGTCTTGTTGACGTAGCTAAGCAATACGTCTACCAGACGTCTTGTTGACGTAGCTAAGCAATACGTCTACCAGACTATTGTTGACGTAGCTAAGCAATACGTCTACCAGCCGTCTTGTTGACGTAGCTAAGCAATATGTCTACCAGACGTCTTGTTGACGTAGCTAAGCACTACGTCTACCAGACGTCTTGTTGACGTAGCTAAGCAATACGTCTACCAGCCGTCTTGTTGACGTAGCTAAGCAATACGTCTACCAGACGCCTTGTTGACGTAGCTAAGCACTACGTCTACCAGACGTTTTGTTGACGTAGCTAAGCAATACGTCTACCAGACGTTTTGTTGACGTAGCTAAGAAATACGTCTACCAGACGTCTTGTTGACGTAGCTAAGCAATACGTCTTTGAACGTGTCTTGCTGGGTTCATGTATGATTCCTCTGAACGTATCTTGCAGGGTTCATGTATGATTCCATTGAACGTGTCTTGCTGGGTTCATGTATGATTCCATTGAACGTGTCTTGCTGGGTTCATGTATGATTCCTCTGAACGTGTCTTGCTGGGTTCATGTATGATTCCATTGAACGTGTCTTGCTGGGTTCATGTATGATTCCTCTGAACGTGTCTTGCTGGGTTCATGTATGATTCCATTGAACGTGTCTTGCTGGGTTCATGTATGATTCCATTGAACGTGTCTTGCTGGGTTCATGTATGATTCCTCTGAACGTGTCTTGCTGGGTTCATGTATGATTCCATTGAACGTGTCTTGCTGGGTTCATATATGATTCCATTGAACGTGTCTTGCTGGGTTCATGTATGATTCCATTGAACGTGTCTTGCTGGGTTCATGTATGATTCCTCTGAACGTGTCTTGCTGGGTTCATGTATGATTCCATTGAACGTGTCTTGCAGGGTTCATGTATGATTCCATTGAACGTGTCTTGCTGGGTTCATGTATGATTCCATTGAACGTGTCTTGCTGGGTTCATGTATGATTCCTCTGAACGTGTCTTGCTGGTTCATGTATGATTCCTCTGAACGTGTCTTGCTGGGTTCATGTATGATTCCTCTGAACGTATCTTGCTGGGTTCATGTATGATTCCATTGAACGTGTCTTGCTGGGTTCATGTATGATTCATCTGAACGTGTCTTGCTGGGTTCATGTATGATTCCATTGAACGTGTCTTGCTGGGTTCATGTATGATTCCTCTGAACGTTCCTCTGAACGTGTCTTGCTGGGTTCATGTATGATTCCTCTGAACGTATCTTGCTGGGTTCATGTATGATTCCATGAACGTGTCTTGCTGGGTTTCATGTATGATTCCTCTGAACGTATCTTGCAGGGTTCATGTATGATTCCATTGAACGTGTCTTGCTGGGTTCATGTATGATTCCTCTGAACGTATCTTGCTGGGTTCTGTATGATTCCTCTGAACGTTCCTCTGAACGTGTCTTGCTGGGTTCATGTATGATTCCTCTGAACGTGTCTTGCAGATTCATTGTATGATTCCTCTGAACGTGTCCTTGCGGGGTTCATGTATGATTCCTTTTGAACGTGTCTTGCTGGTTCATGTATGATTCCTCTAAAACGTGTCTTGCTGGGTTCATGCATGATTCCTCTGAACGTGTCTTGCTGGGTTCTGTATGATTCCATTGAACGTGTCTTGCTGGGTTAAATGTATGATTTCCCTCTGAACGTGTCTTGCTGGGTTCATGTATGATTCCTCTGAACGTATCTTGCTGGGTTCATGTAGATTCCTCTGAACGTGTCTTGCGGGGTTCATGTATGATTCCTCTGAACGTGTCTTGCTGGGTTCATGTATGATTCCTCTGAACGTGTCTTGCTGGGTTCATATATGATTCCTCTGAACGTGTCTTGCTGGTTTCATTATGATTCCTCTGAACGTGTCTTGCTGGGTTCATGAAATGATTTCTCTGAACGTGTTTTTGCGGGGTTCATGTATGATTCCTCTGAACGTGTCTTGCTGGGTTAAATGTATGATTCCTCTGAACGTGTCTTGCTGGGTTCATGTATGATTCCTCTGAACGTATCTTGCTGGGTTCATGTATGAATTCCTCTGAACGTGTCTTGCTGGGTTCATGTATGATTCCTCTGAACGTGTCTTGCTGGGTTCATGTATGATTCCTCTGAACGTAAATGTTATTTTACAAGTTAAATTACGAGTGTTCTGACTTAACAATGTTCTGTGAAGAACTTTCTAGGTCTGGAAGGTATACTTTATACATATATCATGCATACATTATACACACATACATCATACATATACATGAATGGTAGACAATACGAGAATATAAATTTTAGACATGTAAACTTCGCCATCCATTGGCTCTGTCAGTACGCCCCTCAAAGGAAGGTTCCTTGATGTTGGTGAGGGGCTCTTGATTTAGGGAATTGGATCTGTGCTCCAGTTCCCGAATTAAGCCTGAATGCCTTCCACATCCCCCCCCCCTAGGCGCTGTATAATCCTCCGGGTTAGCGTTTTCCCCCCTTGGTTATAATAATGATAATAATCTGTCAGTACGAAATTTGTCTCTCAGCCTCGGCAGGGGGACAGATTACCCCATCTTATGCCACTGGATGGTGAAATGTCTATATTAAAGATACCCAGTTTGTTGTATACATCATAAATTATATACATTATACATGCATCATAGACACATACATGAATACATAGTACATAGACTTGGTATGTCTTGATGACAGGAATGAGGATTACATTTAAATGAGGAACTTCGTCTGAAGGCTTCACCTGGCTTCGACTTCCTCTTAGCATCATCAAATATCCGAAGGCACCAACAATAAATCACCAGACCTGGGAAAAATAACTTTGTAATTGTTATAAACGTGTCAAAAGCGATGTTGTTGGTAGTTAGTGAGTTAGAGGGAAGTTACTGAGTTAGCAGGGATTGTGAGTGAGTGTTTCGGAGGAGTTAGAGGGATACCCAGTGCTATGGGGAGTGAGGGATATCCAGTACCCTCTCCGTTAGATGAGATATAAAGCGGGGCAGCTGTCTGCTCCACCAGGTATACTGTCTGCTGCCTCACACCGTGTGTGTCTTCTCTGCTCCACCAGATATACTGTCTGCTGCCTCACACCGTGTGTGTCTTCTCTGCTCCACCAGATTACTGTCTGCTGCCTCACACCGTGTGGTCTTCTCTGCTCCACCAGTATACTGTCTGCTGCCTCACACCGTGTGTGTCTCCTCTGCTCCACCAGGTATACTGTGTATCTCTTGTTTTATACCGTGTATATAAGTGTGTGTGTGCTGCCTTACACTGTGTGTGTGTTTGCTGCCTTACACTGTGTGCGTACTCACCTAATTGTGGTTGCAGGGGTCGATTCATAGCTCCTGGCCCCGCCTCTCCACTGGTCGCTATTAGGTCCACTCCCTGCCCCATGAGCAGGGAGAGCACTGGTTCTAGGACTGACCCCTGTGGAACTCCGCTCGTCACAGACGCCCACTATGACACCTCGTCACGTACCTTGACTCGTTCTTTCCTTCCTGTCAAGTATTCTCTGATCCATTTTAGTGCCTTCCCTGTTATACCTGTCTGGTCCTCCAGCTTTTGCACTAATGCCTTGTGTGAAACTGTGCCGAAAACCTTCTTACAGGGCTCTGGTGGCCTGGTGGTTAACGCTCTCGCTTCACACGGTGAGGGCCTGGGTTCGATTCCCAGCCAGAGTAGAAACATTGGACGTGTTTCTTTCCACCTGTTGTCTATGTTCCCCATCAGTAAAATGGGTACCTGGGTGTTAGTCGACTGGTGTGGGTCGCATCCTGGGACACTGACCTATGGAGGCCTGGTCACAGACCGGGCCGCGGGGGCGTTGACCCCCGGAACTCTCTCCAGATAAACTCCAGATAAACAGTCCAAGAAAATGACATCTATCCACCACCCTTCTTTCTCTTGTCCTATGCTGTCCCCTTGTCGTAAAACTCCAGTAGGTTTGTGACGCAGGATTTTCCTTCCCTGAAACCATACTGGTTGTCGTTGATAAGCTCATTCCTTTCTAGGTGCTTAAACCACTCTTCTCCTGATAATATTCTCCATGACTTTGCATACTGAACACGTCACAGACAATGGTACGTAGTTTAATGCTCTGTATCTGTCTCCTTTCTTAATAATTGAGACTACATTTGCTGTCTTCCATACCTCAGGTAGTTGCCCTGTTTCGATAGACGTATTAATGATTGTTGTTAGTGGTACACACAGCTCCTCTGCTCCCTCTCTAAGGACTCATAGAGAGATGTCGTCCGGTCCCACCTCCTTAGAGGTATCTAGTGTGCGTCTGTGTGTCTCTCCCAGTACCCAGTGTACTGGATAGGCTTCCTTATAAGTGGGTTTTTGATGCAAAAACAATGGAAAGTCACTGATGTTACCAGTGCGTCTTAGAGAGAGAGAGAGAGAGAGAGAGAGAGAGAGAGAGAAAAAGAGAGAGAGAGAGAGAGAGAGAGAGAGAGAGCAGCAGCAGCAGCAGCAGAAGCAGCAGAGCAGAGATGTAAGCAAGCAGACATGAATTAAACCCCAAGATAACTAACAAGCATTTCTCTATATTCCTTCCCAGATAACATCAGCCACCAGCACTACCAGCACTACTAGCACTACCAGCTCTACCAGCATCATGAAAGCCACCACCACCACCCCCCTCTTGCAGCTGCTGGTACTGGCTCTAGTCCTAGCAGCCACAGCGTCACCGCTGTCACAAGAGGCCTCCCAGGGCGGCGAGATACCACAAGAGGCCTCCCAGGGCGGCGAGATACCACAAGAGGCCTCCCAGGGCGGCGAGATACCACAAGAGGCCTCCCAGGGCGGCGAGATACCACAAGAGGCCTCCCAGGGCGGCGAGACACCACAAGACGCCTTCCAAAGAGACAGGATACCGCAAGAGAACAGCCAACGAGACGGCAAATCCGTTGTAGTTCCTATCGTGATCAAACCTATTACACTACCAACAACAGGAACCTGGACAAACTGGAATTCCTGGCCCACCTGGGGCTCTTTGCCCACCTGGGGTACCTGGCCCCCCTGGGGTACCTGGCCCATAAAGGGTTAATGACCCAAAAGAAGTTCATGGCCCAACTGGGATTCCTAGCGCAGCTGGGGTTCCTGGCCCAGCTTGGGTTGCTGGCCCAGCTGGGTTGCTGGCCCAGCTGGGGTTGCTGGCCCAGCTAGGTTCCTGGCCCAGTTGGGTTGCTGGCCCAGTTCGGGTTCTTGACCCAGCTGGGTTCCTGGCCCAGCTGGGGTTTCCTGGCTCACCTTGGGTTCCTGGCCAGGCTGGGGTTCCTGGCTCACCTTGGTTCCTGGCCAGGCTGGGGTTCCTAGCTCACCTTGGGTTCCTGGCCAGGCTGGGGTTCCTGGCTCACCTTGGGTTCCTGGCCAGGCTGGGTTCCTGGCTCACCTGGTTCCTGGCCAGGCTGGGGTTCCTGGCCAACATGAGGTTCCTGCCCATCTGGGTTCCTGGGCTCCTTCAGAAAGAAGAAACCTCTCCATTTGAAATATCATCAAGGAAAGTGAACCCCAAGTGAACCCCAAGTGAACCCCAAGTGAACCCCAAGTGAACCCCAAGTGAACCCCAAGTGAACCCCAAGTGAACCCCAAGTGAACCTTCATATCTAAGCTAGCTGTTGTGATACTGTTTAGGCACACCCCCATTCCGTTGTTTTTACCGTTGTTTATGAGAACCTTCACGTCCAACTTTATCTGTTGTGTTACTGTTTAATCCCCGTTGTTTTTTACTCATTTTTAGATAAACCATTAAAACCTGTTATTTGCATTATTGTTGTTTTAGTTGTTCCCGTTGGATCTACTGTTTAACGGGTGAGACACAAAAATTACTGTTGACATAGAAATGGTTATCGTGTAGCTGACTCACTGTTGATTTTTTCTCTGAGTCACTGTTACAGTGCCAGGCAGTGAGTCACTGTTACAGTGCCAGGCAGTGAGTCACTGTTACAGTGCCAGGCAGTGAGTCATTGTTACAGTGCCAGGCAGTGAGTCATTGTTACAGTGCCAGGCAGTGAGTCACTGTTACAGTGCCAGGCAGTGAGTCACTGTTACAGTGCCAGGCAGTGAGTCACTGTACAGTGCCAGGCAGTGAGTCACTGTTACAGTGCCAGGCAGTGAGTCACTGTTACAGTGCCAGGCAGTGAGTCACTGTTTCAGTACCAGGTAATGGGTCACTGTTATAGTGCCAGGTAGTGAGTCACTGTTACAGTGCCAGTAGTGAAACACTGTTACAGTACCAGGTAGTGGGTCACTGTTACAGTGCCAGGCAGTGAGTCACTGTTACAGTGCCAGGTAGTGAGTCACTGTTACAGTGCCAGGTAGTGGGTCACTGTTACAGTGCCAGGTAGTGAGTCACTGTTACAGTGCCAGGTAGTGAGTCACTATTACAGTACCAGGTAGTGGGTCACTGTTATAGTGCCAGGTAGTGAGTCACTATTACAGTGCCAGGTAGTGAAACACTGTTACAGTACCAGGCAGTGAGTCACTGTTACAGTGCCAGATAGTGAGTCGCTGTTACAGTGCCAGATAGTGAGTCACTGTTATCAGTGCCAGGTAGTGAGTCACTGTTACAGTGCCAGGTAGTGAGTCACTGTTACAGTGCCAGGTAGTGAGTCACTATTACAATACCAGGTAGTGGGTCACTGTTATAGTGCCAGGTAGTGAGTCACTGTTTACAGTGCCAGGTAGTGAAACACTGTTACAGTACCAGGCAGTGAGCCACTGTTACAGTGCCAGGCAGTGAGTCACTGTTACAGTGCCAGGTAGTGAGTCACTGTTACAGTACCAGTCAGTGAGCCACTGTTACAGTGCCAGGCAGTGAGTCACTGTTACAGTGCCAGGTAGTGAGTCACTGTTACAGTGCCAGTCAGTGAGCCACTGTTACAGTACCAGGCAGTGAGTCACTGTTACAGTGCCAGGTAGTGAGTCACTGTTACAGTACCAGTCAGTGAGCCACTGTTACAGTGCCAGGTAGTGAGTCACTGTTACAGTGCCAGGTAGTGAGTCACTGTTACAGTACCAGGTAGTGAGTCACTGTTACAGTGCCAGGTAGTGAGTCACTGTTACAGTGCCAGGCAGTGAGCCACTGTTACAGTGCCAGTTTGAGTCACTGTTAAAGTGCCAGTAGTGAGTCACTGTTACAGTACCAGGCAGTTGGTCACTGTTACAGTGCCAGGTAGTGAAGTCACTGTTACAGTGCCAGGTAGTGAAACACTGTTACAGTACCAGGCAGTGAGCCACTGTTACAGTGCCAGGCAGTGAGTCACTGTTACAGTGCCAGGTAGTGAGTCACTGTTTACAGTGCCAGTCAGTGAGCCACTGTTACAGTGCCAGGCAGTGAGTCACTGTTACAGTGCCAGGTAGTGAGTCACTGTTACAGTACCAGGCAGTGAGTCACTGTTACAGTGCCAGGCAGTGAGTCACTGTTACAGTGCCAGCAGTGAGTCACTGTTACAGTGCCAGGTAGTGAGTCACTGTTTACAGTGCCAGGTAGTGAGTCACTGTTACAGTGCCAGGCAGTGAGCCACTGTTACAGTGCCAGGTTGTGAGTCACTGTTACAGTGCAAGGTAGTGAGTCACTGTTACAGTACCAGGCAGTGGGTTACCTGGAGGTTATTCCGGGATCAACGCCCCCGCGGCCCGGTCCATGACCAGGCCTCCCGATGATCAGGGCCTGATCAACTAGGCTGTTACTGCTGGCCGCACGCAGTCCAACGTACGAGCCACAGCCCGGCTGATCCGGCACTGACTTTAGGTATCTGTCCAGCTCTCTCTTGAAGGCAGCCAGGAGTTTATTGGCAATTCCCCTAATGCTTGATGGGAGGCGTTGAAACAGTTTTGGGCCCCGGACACTTATGGTGTTTTTCCCTTAGTGTACCAATGGCGCCCCTACTTTTATTGGGGGCATTTTGCATCGCCTGCCCAGTCTTTTACTTTCGTAGGGAGTGATTTCTGTGTGCAGATTTGGGACCATTCCTTCCAAGATTTTCCAAGTGTAGATTATGATATATCTCTCCCTCCTGCGTTCCAAGGAGTACAAGTCAAGTGCTTCCAAGCGTTCCCAGTAGTTAAGATGCTTGACAGAACTTATACGTGCAGTAAAGGATCTCTGTACACTCTCTAGATCTGCGATTTCACCTGCTTTGAATGGAGATGCTAAGTACAGCAGTATTCCAGCCTGGAGAGAACAAGTGATTTGAAAAGGATCTTCATGGGCTTGGCATCTCTCGTTTTGAAAGTTCTCATATCCATCCTATCATTTTCTTTGCACGTGCGATCGTGGCACTGTTGTGATCCTTGAAAGTGAGATCCTCAGACATACTACTCCCAGGTCCCTTACATTATTTTTCCGCTCTATTGTATGGCCGGAGTCAGTAGTATACTCTGTTCTAGTTATTATCTCCTCCAGTTTTTCCATAACGGAGTAGTTGGAATTTGTCCTCATTGAACATCATATTGTTTACCGTTGCCCACTGGAAAACTTTATTTATATCTTCTGGAGGTTAACCGCGTCCTCAGCAGATGACAGCCTCATGCAGATCCTAGTATCATCCGCAAAGGATGATACGGTGCTGTGGTGTATATCTCTGTTTATGTCTGATATGAGGATAAGGAATAAGATGGGGGCGAGTACTGTGCCTTGTGGAACAGAGCTCTTCACTATGGCAGCCCCGATTTAACTCTGTTGAACCACTACTCTTTGTGTTCGATTTGTTAGGAAGTTGAAGATCCATCTCCCCACTTTCCCAGTTATTCCTTAGACGTATTTTATGGGCTACTACGCCATGATCCGCAAAAT